GCCTGTTTCTTCCTTCAAGCATGTTACTGCCACCTGCTGGACACTTGTGATAAAGCTGCACACCTAACATTACGGCAAGGGGGACAGCGCCCCCTGGGGTTGTGCAACACCATCAAAAGGACGCCTTGCTTATTTCTCCAAAGGGAACCTTGCTGGACAAGGTGGGGGCACAGAATAAGGACCTGACCTCCAGGTCGACACAGAGCAGACCCCCAAATGCAGGGTGCCGCTCATTCCTGCAGCTCCACCCACTGGGGATGCAGAACCTCGGCTGCTGTCACTGTGGGGTAGGGACTGAGCCCTAGATCTGGGGCAACAACACAGGTAGGGGTTCCCACACTCTGGACCTCCAACCCAGCAGCCAGGGACCCCAGACTCTGGGAGCTTTAACACCCTCATCTATAAAGATGCAAATAACACTGCATCCTGCATCCACAGTGTGGCCTGACCTCGGTTCTGTGTTCCGCACACTGATGGTCGTGTTAATGTGAGTAGATGTGGTAAGTGTTCTCTGAACATAACATATTGTTTCTTAATGACAACATCAGACATGGCCAGATGATGATGGGCCGGGGTGGGGCCAGGGCAGGCGGCAGCATTTATGGAGCACTTATACTATATGCCAGGCATGGCAGAAAGTGCTGCATGTGAATTCTTTCATTAACTGTTCCAGGAGCTCTATGAAGTATTACTCAACCAATTTTACAGATTAGCAAACAAGCCCAGATGTAAGGCACTTGCTCAGGTGGCCCAGGAAGTGATGAGGGGTCTTCAACCCCGGGCTGCATAACACGCAGGCCAGAATACACTCTACAGACAGCATGAGGACATGTCCTTTATTCCAAAGACAGAGTCAGACTCTCAGAGAAGGAGGGAAGGAGTGAGACGCTGCACGTGGGCCAGTCTCAAGGGTATGTGGAGACACTGCCCACTCTTTCACCAAGCACCTCTCCTCTCATGGGGCAGGCTGTGCAGCTCCAGACCCGAACACCAGGTCACAGCCCGTGTGCAGTGAAATTGCACAGTGATGTGAAAATAGCTTGCAATTAAAAATACAAAATGAATCCACCCAAAGCTGACCCAAGATGTTCTTGGGTTGTGTTTCTTAACTTGCTTCTTTATGTGTTGTATTTCCCAAGATTTCCACAATGAGCAGGGTTTTTTTTTTTTTTGAATGAGAAAAAAAAAGCTAATCTGAATAATAACTTTTAAGATAGCTTGTAGACAGTGTGAGTTCAGCCAGTATCAGCCTGCAGGCAGCAGGCATCTCCCCACAGCATCGCCCGGAGGGGTTGGATCTGAAATGTCTTCCTGTGCAATAAACACCTGCCCTCAGACAAGGCCAGCAAAGTGCAGTGCGGAGAGCCCCAGAGAGCAGGCCAGGCTCTTCCACACCTGCGAGCAGGCCTGTGGCCGCTCAGAATCTCTGGCAAGATGAGCAACCAGGCCACCGGTAAGGAGCTGTCCACACTCCTGGGTGCTAGAAGGGAAAGCGGCATTGCCCACAGAGGGATACACTTTAAAAGCAGAACACATAAACCCCGAACTCTGAGGGCTTCTTTAGAGAGGGCAGAGCCAGAAACAGCCCAGCTGGGCTAAAGCAAAACCCACCTGCCCTGTACTTTCTTCTGCCACATATGCACCGTTGTATTAAGAGTGGCTTCTGTTCAAAAGCTCTACGGGCGAGCTGAAGACCCAGGCGTCTGGGTGTGAGACAGGCTGGGAGTGAACCCAGCTCAGCCCGTTGCTCCCTCTGTGGCCTTGGGCAAGTTACTCACCCTCTCTGGGCCTGGTAACTCCTCTGATAAACAGAGACAATTAGTAATCTGCTAGGGTTGCTCTGGGGACGTACAAAGACAGTGTAAAGCGGACAAGGACAGTGCTTGGCTGGGTACACAAGAGCAATGACAAGGAAGGTCATTTAGGAAGGGATGGCGCTGTCCACTTCCCTGCCGGGCCTGTGCTGAGCACCCTGCAAACATCATGCAGTGAGCGGTCACAGCAGCCCTGCAGATGAGGGGCACAGTTCAGGGATGCACAGCCCCTTCATGTGGACACGCGATCCATCAGCAGGGAGACAGCGGGCTTTCCGACTTGTCAGAAGAGGAAACCAGCTGCTGCTGGACGACACCGAACACGTCCAGATGGGATTCCAAATGCTGCTCCCTAACCAAGCGGCAGCAGGATGCAAGGCCCAGGGGTGGGGCCTCCATGGTCCAAATGCAGCACCGTGGGCTGGGGCCATGGGACCAAGGTGTTGGGTGGTGTTGGGGCAGTGATGCTCTGAATCCAAGCCTGGGGCCTCAGGGGTGGAACCCGGCACCTGTGGGGACTAGGATCACTAGAGCTTCGAGGTCTGGGCACTGCCCTCTTCCAAACAGGTCACTTCGGAAGCCTGGAATGGCCCCACAAGGCTGCTCACATCAACATGGTGAGGACTCTCCTTTGGGGACCATCTCTTCGACATCCTCAATAAGAGCCAAGGTTCATACCAGGAGCCAAGGATTAGCTTTTAAAACACCGTGACGGAACTGGCGGCCAAGTGCAGCAGCAGCAGAGGCGAGCAGAAGGCAGGGGCCCCTTCACCCCATCCCTGCCCCAGGCACCAACGCCTACCAGGTCACTGCATGAGCCCAGAAACCACCACTACACAGACATGGAACACTGTCATGCCTGCACCCCACGCATGTGCACACGCACATGGACATGTGTGAGTACACGTGTGCGTGCGTGTGTGTGTGTGTGTGTGTGTGTGTGTGTGCGCCCATGCACGCTTGCACATTATATTTTTACATCTATGTGTTTCACGTCTGGCTTCCCCCATGGGAATGTAGGGCATATTCAGGGAGCTTCAGTTCGCTGCTGCCTCCTGGGTGCCCAGGACCGAGTCAAACGCTGTGGAAAGGCCCAGAAGGGACAGGCCCGAGCACACAGCTGAGGAACAGCAGGACCACCCAGGACCCTGCTACAGCCAGAGGAGGTAGGGGGAGCCTGGGAGGAGGGAGGGGGAGCAGGGGCAGAGAAGCAGGGGTGCAGGAGAGCTCTGCGATGGGAGCCAGGTGCAGAATGAAAGCGAGGGAGGGCCAGGAGAGCACAGCAGGGGACCAGCTCCCCTGCCGGACGAGCTCCCAGCGCTCTGCAAGAGTCACCTGCTCCTGTGCTCAGGGCGGGCGTGCGCCGGGGCTCCCAGAGAAACAGCACCAGTACAGGGGGATGTGTGTGTACATACGTATGCATACATTTAGAGAGAAAGAGAGAATTTTAGAGAAGTTTAGATTTAAATTTAAAATGAAGATATACTTTAAAGAATTATGGGGGTGCAAGTCTGGAATCTGCAGGCCCAGCGAGGAGCCAATGCTGCAGCTCGAGTCCCAAGGCCGCTGGGGGCAGACCCGCCTCCTCTCGGGGGCCTCGGTCTTGGCTCTCCAGGCCTTCAACTGACTGCACAAGGCCCGCCCCACCGTGCGGCATCATCCGCTCTGCTCACAGTCTGCTAATTTACTGCTAATCCCATCTTCACAATCTCTCACACAGCAACACCTAGAATGACGTTTGATCAAATATCTGGGTACCGTAGTCTGGCCAACCTGACACATAAAACTAACCATCTCAGGGAAGCGTTTTCCCTGGTTCATGAGGAAAAGCACAGGAGTGGCACCGGCCTCACACCGGGCAGGAGGAGGAACGCTTCCCAAGGTGGGCATCGCTGCGCTCGCTGCACAGATGAATCAGAACTGACCCGGTGTGAGAAAGGCCGAGGGAGGCCAGGGCCTGCTGGCACCCCACTGCCCACAGCCCTGCGTCTGCACCTCTCAGCTCTGACCACGTGGCGGGGTGCATTATCGAGCAGGTGTATAAGATGACAATGGCAGAGGGAACGCGCAGGTAGCCTGAGAAGTGAGGACAGTCACTATGCAAAGCCCAGCGGGATGGTTTAGAGAACCCTCTCCCCTCCAGCTGTCCTTCCTGTCCCGGCCCCTCCCCGTCACCTCCTGGGTGGACATTCTGTCCTCCCTGACCCCCAGGCCTGCACCACCGGCTCCCTGACTGGCCAGCTCTGGCAGGGCTCAGCCAATAGGAGGGTGGGAGAGTAAAGATGTGGAGTATTTTCCCCTCCCTGCCTTTCAGCCCCGGAGGGTGGGTGGGGGTGGGTAATGGCTCCCCACTGCTGCTTGCCCATTGGGCCGCAACCTTTAACCCTGCCCACTCCTGTACCTGTCTACTAAAGACTTTGAACTGAAGACACCAGATGGATTCTGTTTCTTGCCAAGATGCAGGTGACACACCTCCTGGTGAGGTGGGATCTGAAAAACATGCACCGTGGCCATGGAAATCAGGCCTCAGCCTGGGCCACCTGTGCTCAGCAGGCACCTGGCACCATGCTCAGGCAGGGTACCCAGGATGGTAGGGCCCGGAGAAAAGGGGGCGCTCACCCCCACTCCAGTGGACCGCGCTGTGCAGAAATGCAACAGCCTTGCCTGATCTGCCAATTTCTCCAGCAAAGTCAGAAAAATATATTTCTAGCTAAGCACGTCATTGTTAAAGGCTGACGATTCATTCACACTTTTTTTGAACTCTGGTAGACCAAGTAAAATCCTGGCAGGCAGGCCCTGACCTGTGGCTGCCCTGCCCTGTCTGGGAGGTCAGAGGACGAGGGAGGGCAGTTTACGGGAGCGACGGGGGTGAGCCGCACCCTCGCACCTGGTGGATCTCGTGCCAGCCATTCTCGTCTTTGCAGCACACGGTGGCGTGTTCGTGCAGCAGTAGCTCGCAGCAGTAGGGGTCGCCCCCGACAATGGCGGTGTGATACAGGGGCGTGAGGCCGTAGCTGTCTTTGTAATCGGGGGATGCTCCAAGCTCCAGGAGGGTCTGGGGGAAAAAAAGATCAAAAGTTGTGGTCATCAGTCTCACGATCCCTTTTGCACAGAGTGAAACAATGAGAAAGAAGCACAAAGACCACTGTCCCAAAGCAAAGGCCAGGGCTGACTGAAACCCTGGGCTCCCGGTGCTTTCCGGGGCCCCCAGAATGAAGAAGTGTCCAGCCCTGAAACAGCACCCGGTGCCCGGGCATGCAGGGCAGGCGTGCCCGGGGTAGCAGAGGACGCGTTCTGCAGACGTGGGCCTGCGACACCCACACGGGCCCTGCACCCCGAACCAGCGGGGGAACGGTGACCGCAACCCAGTGAAGGCGACACATGCAGGAAAGAGGAAGGTCCTTCCTCTTCGCCCAAGCGCACAGTGGGATGGGCACCCCGAGGGTGGCGGGCACTTCTGACTTCCTAGCAAGCCGTGACAAGGTGCGGCAGAAGTGAGGCTGACGAGTCCGAGGCTTGAGGCAGAAGCTACCACCTCGCGGGTCACCCCTCCTCTCTGGGGTGCAGATGGGGAACGGCCCAGGCGCCCGCCGTCCCCACACACAGCGAGGGCAGGTGACTCAGCCCGCAGACGGCGGGAGGCGGCGGCGGCAGTGGGAACCCACACCCCACGCTGGCTGGTCACGCTGGCTGGTCACGCCGCGGGTGGGGTCTGCAGCCTCCTGCCGTGGATCGAATTGGGTTTCAGCCCAACGGATTGAATCTACAAGCCCCTACGACTGAACTAGGAGGGGAAAGAGGACTTTTTGTGAACAGTAAATTCTAAAAGTAACGATACCAAGGAGACAGAGTGGGAACACGTGGCTCCACTGGCCACCTCCTGTCGGACCCAATTCACAGTCCCCTCGGAAGTGGGCACAGTGGGGACGGGACGGGAGTAGGCGCAGGGGACCAGACAGGGGAGGGGCTGCCACCCACCTGAGACGGGCTCCAGACTTACCTTCAGGGCAACCTGGTTCCTGGCTCGGGCGGCTTTGTGCAGGGCAGTCATCCCATCCTTAGCACGGAAATCCAGGTGAGCCCCGCCATTTCTGAGAGCTTTGATGACCTCCATGGAGTCGTCCAGCTGAGCGGCTGAGGTCAGGGGGGTCTCTGAGGGACCCAAACACATGCACTTTAGAACGAGCACTTGGGGAAAGTCACCAGGTCACATTGCTCACTCATGTTCAAATGCCTAAAACTGAGCTTAGAGAACTGACCCACCCCAGGGTATTCACAGCCCCCATCCGCCTGTGGACCCCAACAGTCCACACGGTCAGGGTGGCTCAGGCAAGCCCAGGGAGCATGGCAGGGATGTGTGGCAGAGGCAGGGTTTCAACACGATTGCTCTGTGGCTGTGAGTCCCAGAGGCTGCCCCTGCTCCTCGCTCTGAGCACACAGACCCCTGCAGAACCATCTGGATGCTTCCCATATAGGAGGAGTGACGGATTGTGGCCATAATTAGAGGCTTGAAAGGCAGATGCCCTCCTTTCTTCATTCAATTTCGTGACATTTGCGGACACCCTGGTAGAGACCAGGAACTGGGCTGCAGGGACACACATGTAGGGAAGACAGGCAGCCCATGCCCGCTGGAGACCTAGATCTGGGTGAGCAGAGACCCTCATCCATCAACGTGACACAGGATGACATACAAGGTGGGGCAAAGCCCAGGGGACGGAGGGATGAAGGCCCCCGCCCCACACAGACGGTCCTGGACCAGTCTGTCACTGGCTGTCGCTGAGGATGTCCATGTTTGTCACCACGCATCTCTCTGCTCATTCATTATCTTCCTCAGATGCCCCCATGGCCACTGTTAAGCACGGTGGTTAGTGTGAGAGGCTGTCACACTTCCAAGATTACTATGACAGCCCGCAAGTTCTCAGGGCCCAGGAAGAGAAGTGGTTACAGTCACTCTGTCTTCAGGCACATTTTGAGAATAGAAGACCTGGGACGCCTTCCATGGGGCTGAATCCTCTTCTGACCATACACAGGTCCCATCGGCCTCCGTCCCCAGAAAGGTCAAATCCATCGTGAATTCAGACTGAATCCTCCCACGGATTTTTAATTCCTACACTTATTTATCCACAAATGGGCATCGTTCTGAGTGCTTTTTAAATTCACCGTAGGAACCACTTGGCAACGCGATTTTTCGTGGTGGGAGGCGCAGCCTGACCCACTCGTGGTAACCAGTGGGGAGAGCGTGGACGTGCCGCCGACGCTGCCACCTCTCCTGATCGAAACAGCATGCCTCCCGCTTTCCCTAGTTATGAACACGGCCTCCGCGAATGCCGCTGCCCCTGACTCCATTGCATGCCCGTGAGAGGGACCTTCTGATGCAGAAGCTTGGAAGAATAATGGAAATTTTCTGGGACAGCTAAGCGACTTTGGTGATGGAGGGAGATGCTTCTTGCACAGCAAACAGCAAAAAGGAAAGGGAGGCGAGCCCGGAGCTCTCCATGGGTGCAGACTGGGAGGTGCCTGGAGGGTAACAACTGGAGGGCAGCCCCGCCCGGCCCCAGGCACAAGTGTGGAAGGCAGCTGAGGATTCTCTTCCTGGGGCGAAAGGACCACCATGGGGAGGGGAGGGACAGATCCTGGAAGGGCGTAAAACAACTGGGTCACCAGGAGGTGCCAGTATCTACATGTAAAGTTCAAATCTTACAGCAAACTAACGAGCATGCTGATGCTCCTCAGGGGCAAGGCTAACCTTCAAAACTCCCAGGATTTTCCTTTCTTCTTTAGCTGTCCACACAGGCCCAATGCAAACATTAGGTGGGCCAAAGTAGATGTTTTTTTAAAAAAAGATTACACTGTGCTACTTTCATGACTGATGACCCAGACTTGTATCGCTTTATAAATGAGAGTACTGTCTCAGAGAGAGCTGGTGGCAGACCTGAGGCTTCCATCGTGACTTCTGACTCTGAACACCAGCCCCTGCAGCCGAGTCACGCCTGGTGGGTGTACTGGACACATGGTGATGGCGAAGGAACATGCAGGCAGAGAAAGCTGTGCCACCCAGCAAGTGGCTGTGCACCTTACACACGGGATGGGGACCTGCAGCCCTTGGGTGACATCCAGGGCCATCCAAGGACAGGTGGCAGCTTTTGAGTTTCCAGAAGTGCTCCTCAAATGATGACCCAGACCTGCCACATTCAGCTCTTGACAGCACCCACCCCGGTGAGGGCGGGAGGCCCTCCCCAGCCCCTGCAGCCTCCAGCTCAGACTGTAACCTGTGACACATGGGGCTGTACTGTCTGTGCAGTCAACCATCACGTCACCACCCTCTAATGAGCTTGGGATCTGCACTGTCATCTGCTATTCCTCAGTTTTGCATTTTGAAATGTTTTCAGTTTTAAAATACTGAAGCCTCAACCTGTATAACCTCAGAAGTGGCCACGGTCTCCCTTGACTTGAACGATTTGTGGGAGCAGAAACATCTACAACATTGCGAGATGACCCTACAGACAGACACACCCTCCAGCCTAGAAACTGCCCAGGAGCCTTACAGTTCTAGGGAGTGGCCAGGATATGCCTCAACAGGCACCGACAGGAAGGGGTGGCAAGTGGGGCCCGTGGGGCCTGCAGCAGGAGGGCATCAGACCCTGGGTGCACGCACACCCGTGTGCGTGGGTGTTCCTGGGTGCACCACGTGCCCTGGATTGACAGCCGTAGGAACCGCACGGTCGGGTGAGTGGTTCCTCCCACGAGAGGCAGCGTTGATGGCCATAAAAACTGCTCCTCCCGGGCCGGCCCGGTGGCGCACTCGGTAGAGTGCGGCGCTTGGGAGCGCGGCGGCGCTCCCACCAAGGGTTCGGATCCCATATAGAGACCGGTCCACTCACTGGTTGAGCACGGTGCGGGTGCGACACAGAGGGTTGCGATCCCGTTGCCGGTCGCGGTACGGGTGCGACACCGAGGGTTGCAATCCCGTTACCGGTCACGAAAAAAGACAAAAAGGAAAAAAAAAACAACTGCTCTTCCCTGTAAGGCTGGTGACCTTGAGCAGGTTCCTTAAAAACCATCAATTCAGGAGGCCCAGGTAGAAACCAGCATGTGGGAGAAGACTTTAACTGTGCTACGGCTGCAGGAAACAACCTCACTGAAGGGGACGGGGGACAAAGGGCTGACCTGAGGAACTCTGGAAATGAGTGGAGTCTGTAAACTAAATGAAGTCATACTGGATCGTAGCTCAAGTCTAAAGTGACTATCCACGACTCCACCTGAAGTGAACAGGTGACTGAGCAGACAAACGCAGGGGGAGGGACAGATCGCCCATGAGGACGATTCCAGTCACTTCTGCAGCGGCTCTACCCCTGAGGAGGCCGAGTATAAGCGCTGACCACCCACGGTGACTTCCAGACACAGTGAAAGAAAGTGACTTCACAGTGGAGACACCTGAGAGACACGGCAGGTGACAAGGTCAACATCAGCAGCAGGTGATCGAGTCGGGCTGATGGCGTGGACCCCGGACAGGACATAATGAGAAGGCTCCTTCACCTCAGTGGTCTTCCTCCCCAAACCCACGACCCGGTCTAAGGAAGACAGCAGACAAATCCCAGTAGAGGGACATTCTACAAACTGCCTGACTGTCCAGGTCATCATAATAAGGAGCGTCTGCGAAAATGATGAAGCCAAGAGGAGCTTAAGGACACAGGACGGCTCAGTGTCCTGTGGGATCCTCTATGAAATCCGGAACACACACAGGAAAACACCAGGGAAAAACCGAGGACATCTGAATACAGTACAGGCTTTCAGTTCATGATAACGTGTCAATATTGGTTTGCTAGTTGTGACAAACGCACCACACTAATGTAAGACATTAACGATGTGGGAAACTGGGTGTGGGGACACAGAAACTCTGTGCTATCTTTGCAATTATTTTGTAAACCTAAAACCGCTACAAAACAAAACATTTATTTAACAAAACACCTCAAAAGCTCTGGTTGAGGGTAACGGTTTTAATGTAAAAATGCAGCTGCTCACAGACTGGCAGAAAATATTTGCAGAACACATATAAAGTACTTGTATCCAAAATATACAGAGAACTCTTACAATTCAACAGTTTGTTTTAAAAAGCCAATTAAAAAGTGGGCAAAACAGCTTCATAGACACCTCACCAAATAACCACACGAAAAGATGCTCGGCGTCGCGTCCCTGGGAATCACAGGTTGAAGCAACAGCGAGGTACGTCTGCACAATGGTCAGGATGACCCGATCCAGGATCCTGGCAACACCAAATGCAGGGGAGGCTGTGCAGCCGCGGGACCCTTGTCACAGTGGTGGCAATGCAGAAGGGTGCAGACAGTTTCTAGCCAACTAAATGCCCCCCGACCATGGCATCCAACAACTGAGCTCCAAGGTGTTTCCCCAAACGAGCTGAAAACGTGCGTCCACACAGAAACCTGCACGGTGACGTCTACGGCAGCTTTGTCTATAACTGCCGAAAACTGCAAACACCTGAGACGTGCTTCGGCAGGTGAAGGAATAAACAAGCAGCGGAATCTCCAGCCACTGGAATATTATTCAGCACTAAAAAGAAACAAGCTATCAAGCCATGAAAAGACACGGAGGAACCTTAAGTGCGTATTACTAAGTGACAGAAGCCAGTCTGAGAAGGCCACATTCTATATGATTCCAACTACATGACATTCTAGAAAAGGCATAACTGCGGAGAGGAAGAAGGAACGGGTGAGGGCAGGATGCCTCGGGCAGTGGCACTAGACATCAGGACACGGGGCAGTACCATGAGTGAAAACCCACAGAAGGCACAGCTCCGAGAGCGAACCCAGCAGAAACCGGGCACTTAGTTATCGCCACAAACGCACCGCGCCAGTGCAAGGGGCAGAGAACAGGGAAATGCGGGCAGGGGGCGCGGGGCTCTGCACTTTCTGCTTGATTCTTCTCTAACCCTAAACTGGCCTGTACCCGACCCCAGGGCATGCTCGCCTGCTGCTCCTAGCCTCACGGGACTCCCACCCCGTCTGTCCTTTCTGTGCCATGACTTGATGTATTCTATCTTCTTCTGTCACGTGCACCCTTATGAGCCAGCCCTACCCCTTCTGGAACGTGGTGGGGCATAAATAAGAAAAATCCTGAAATAATTAGACACAGTA